AAAAAGCATCATATGACCCCTTTAAGTATTAGTAATTTTGTTATGTTCTTTTCTCATTATTAATAGTTTTTTTTTCTATTTAGCTTTGCTTTATGTTGATTTCAGTTTTAGTTTTTATTTTAGTTTAAGTTTTAGTAAATTTGTTATCTACTTTTCTCATTATATTTTTATATTTCTGTTAAATTTTTTCATTATATTGATTTCAGTTTTAATTTGAGTAATTTCCTATTTTCAGTTTTCAGATTAATTTTTTTATATTTAGTCATTTAATATGTCTATTTAGCTTTGCTTTCAAACCTATTGATTTCAGTTTTAGTTTTAGTCATTTTAGTACCTCAACCTAAACTTATTTTATTTCAGTTATATGCCAAGGCAACATTTCTGTTATTTATTTATTTATTTATTTGTTTGTTTGTTTGTTTGTTTGTTTGTCATGCAATAGTTATATTTTATTTTATTTCAGATAAAAAAAAAAAACATTTTAATACTTTTAGTTTTGTAAAATAAAATACATAGAATAAATCATTATATAATAATAAATCAATAATAATAAATAAAATAGAATAGTATTCATACACATTTTTATGCAAATTATTAATGTGTAAAACATTACGTGCATGTATCTATGCTGTGTACTGTTAAGGATTTTTCTTTGTGAAGCAAAAGTGCATCTGTAAAGAAAGTGACTTTTGAAGTGTAAGTTTTACGGCCGTCTTGTGGGGTGAAAAGAGCCAGTCATGAATATGTTTGGAAACCCATCTGTCTCCTTTTTGTTAAATTACCCAGCATCTGTATTTGGTTATTGTGCAGGTAATAATTCACAGAGTAGATCTGTGCATATCAGTGTGTTTGTTGACATAGAAAGAATACATGTAAATGTAAAGTGCGCATGTATATTTGCAAATGTGTGCATGAAAAAGTGAAGCCAGGACCAACTTTACTGCACAAGAAGTGTCAACATGAACTTTGAAAGGGGAATTTGTCTTGGGTGTGGAGATCTTTGGGTCACCCAGGAAGAAAAACCCTGTATAGTCGAGTTTCTTTTAAAGCGAACAGGTAATTCATCGTCTGTTCAGTTGGAGGGCAAATATTTCCTTAACTCTTTTTGGTATTGCATGAACTGTTCTAGCAGTGCTTCTGCAGAAACAAGTTTCCAGGGTACATTGTCAAGAGACCAACCCCCCCATAAGAAAAATCACACTACATTCCAGTCCTCAAGAACAATTGAGAATCCCTGACTAAAGAGGAAACAGTTGATCGAGACATGTATCTGCAAGTGTGAAAGCATGACATCAGTGTGTGCAGTGGCGCACTCATTTATGCTCTGTGAAACAGAAAACCTATAATATGCCTGAGAGGGATTGTTTCCTGTTAGGCACCTCAAATTAATAGTGACGTGGAAGATTTCTCAGACCCACATAGAAGAGTTGTGACAAGTGAGAGCACATGATTTTTTTTCTTCTTGTAATAAGTAACATTGTATTAGGATTTACAACAGTGTATTAGCAATTGCATTTATAAAGTTACTTAATGGCAATTTTTGGACTATAACAAAGCATTTAAAATAAAATAAAAAACTACTTGAATCAGTCAATCAGTGCTAAAGTTTAAGGTTTAATGCTTAGTGTTGCATACTGCATACTATTTTACATGCTGTTAAAAAGTTAATGTTAGTTTAAAAAAAAATTGTAGGCAACATACTGTACAGTACTATATGGTGTACACTGCACACTATGAGTACGCTATAATCAGTATGCCAGTGTGACATAAGGTGCAGTCACTCTTTGAATTTGGCTAGTGTGGGACATCTAGTGGCTGAATGTTGAGAACATCTGCGCTGTGTGTCGATGCACCTTACGAGAGAATAAGACCAGTAAGCAAGGTAAAAAATATATGTACGTTTGTCTGTGTGTTTGTGTCAACATTTTTGCACACCAGTTTAACCTAGTAACATTTACCCGTCAACATAGCGGTAACAAACTTTACTATGGTAAACTGCACTGTTGTTTCAAACGACTTTTGTCAGCTTATTGAATTACCGAATTAAAATTACTTTTAACGAGCAACGCCTATCTTGTATTAACATTAAGTTAAAGGGGTCAAGTGTGCATATGCGTTGTGATACTCTCCAAAATGGCGGAAGACAGTAACTCGGGGGAGAAGAATTGTGGAATAAAGTTGTCTTTGTGCACAAAAGCATTTATTCTCGTAGCTTCACAAAATTGAAGTTGAGCCACTGATGTCACATAGACTGTTTTACCGATGTCCTTGCTACGTTTCTGTGTCTGGGAACCAACTAGTTGCGTTGCTGTCTATGGGAGGGTCAGACAGCTCTCAGATTCCATCAAAAATATCTTAATTTGTGTTCAGAAGATGAACGAAGGTCTTACGGGTTTTTGAACGACACGAGGGTAATTAATGACAGAATTTTCCTTTTGGGGTGAACTAACCCTTTAATTAAAAAATACATTTTATAAATAATTCAAAATATTAGGTTGTTTAAAAAGATGTTCATCTGTACTTTCATTATTGTGCCAACATAGTTCATGTTTGCATATCCCAGTTCAACTACATGCTAACACCTCAATAAATCTTTAAGTACAGTGAAATGAGTTTGCTTAGTAAGGTGTATTGCCATAATGAAAATGTACTTGTGCTGCATTTACATAGAATACAATACATAAATCTGATTTAAATAAACCCCACGGTCTTTTTGCTCACAGGTAGTGTCAATGCATTTTGTTGCAGGTCATGTTGTTGAAGGTTCTGTCTGTACACGCATATGTTTTACATAATGGTCAATCTGGACTACGCTGGTGCACCAGTTACATATTTTGCTTCTTTTGTTCTTGACACAGGTCAGCTGTTGCTTATCACCTCTGAATAAGAGGTTATCTCTCGGATAGAGCAGCTCCCACCTGGCGTTCTGGTTTGAAACTACTTGATCTGATTAGATTGACTCGACCCAAAACCACATTTGATTCAAAAGTGATCAGCCTGTTGCATTTGCGTAATCAAATCAATGTCTCACGACTTCATTGGAAAATGTTTATTTTCATTTAGGAGGATCACAATCTTCACACAGTTAATAACAGATATTTTAATAGTAATAGTAATAAAGCAAGCCTCCCATGAGGTAATTTGTCCTAATGCAGTTGTTTAAATAACCTGAGTCACACTGACTGTCTGGCCTTACGTCTCCACCCAACGCCACATAGGCTACACACTTAACACAACTATAAACATGCATTATTGCACCGATTATCAGCCTTATCTGTCGTATCTGTTTGAGTGTTATCATTTATGATGTGATGGAAAGTGAAGGTTACTAATGAACAGTGTTATTGTTTGTGTGTCTTTACGCAGAGACAGCGTGTCCCAGTCCACGTCACTAATGAATCTCATGATGACGTGTCCGAGACATATTTCACCGTAAAAGCAAGAAAAGACATAATAATTAATATCTTGTGCTTAAAGAAATTAAGCCTTTTTTTGTGATATTAAGCACATTTTTCTCCCAAATTCTCAATGTAATTTATACTTATCACAATTTTTTTAAATACATTTTTCCTGAAATTGTTATGTTTTGGCAATAAATAAATGTAATACGTTTACTAGCATTAATAGATTTAATATGCCAGAAATGATACAGCTATATTGACCCTGTAAAGCATGCAATATGAAATTAAAGTCAGAAAAATAAAATATTTTGAAATGGAACAGTTCATTGAAACCTTAGACAAAAAATGTAAAAAAAGGAGTTTGCATATGTGTTGAGTGTCATATTTGATACATCAGGCTTTTATGGTGTGATATATTGAGAATATGGAACTCATACACAAAGGAGGAAAAAAGACCCCTTGTTTTAGGGGCTACTAACAGTTGCCGATATTCATATAACCAAAAAGTTGATGTGTTTTTTTTTAGCATTTTAACATGATTTTTTCTAAAAAATTATGTATGCAATTATGTACACATCAGCTATAGATCCACACGACACTTTTTCAGGAAAATGATGGCAAACTTTCTGATTCATTTATAATGTTCAGCCCATTCCTTTCGGAAGTCCTTGTTGTGAATTCAACAAAACCTCCACTAAGTCAGCCAGCTAGATAATGTAACCTTGATAACATTCAAATCTGCAGAATACACAACAGAGATATTCAATTTATCTAAATTTGCATGAGACAAAAACACATGGCCAAAAACTTTTCCACTGGCCCATCCTTGGTCCTGGTCCTAAAAATAGACTTAATTTTGATATTTTATTCTGAAGATTTTGAGATGACCTATGACTCGAACATGTTTTTTTAGAGATTCACCCCCATACTGTTGGACGAAACATGAGTTGTGTTTGCGCTGCTTTGAAGCCAGGATGAATTAACCTAATCCAGTTCGACCTCCATGCGGGTGGCACGCCACTGTTTACAGATAGCCAGTTTTCATCAATGAAAAACATGCATTGTGCCCAAACGTTTTGTTTACAGTTGCTTTGGTACAGTTGTTTTAATGAAGCCAAAATGCTTAAAATAAAGCTCCTCTGTTGACGCGTGGCATACTGATACCATTCATCAGATTACAACAAGATGAGCTCCGGCGTTCCAGCCGTTTAGGAGAGCCGCATGGTCATGTGACATAGCCGAAAGAGTTAGACGTTGTGTTGTGGTTGTTGATGATAACCACCTGACCTAGGCTCAACTGTAAACACTGACCATTCTGTCAGTTCAACTATCCTGCATTGTTCATATAGTTATGATATTTAATCATATTTGCTGTCAGCAATATATCTTAAACCCATTTGCTATTGAGACACATTACATGATAGAAGTGTGCAACCTGTTGACAAATCTGCCGAACAGTCAAAACGGCACCTGTTCAGAGTTGAATTCATCCTCTGTACTGTATGTTGACCACTCGTGCTGTTTGTACATTAGTCATTTCAGGAATCTCAGAAATGCATCGGTGGGTGGCAAGGCCGCTGCAGTGAATTGTGGGATATAATGTTACAAGTACAAAGCATTTTAAGTCTTGCCAGTTTATCATATGCTCCATTGTGATTGACATAGCTTTTTTGTGTCTTTTAAAGGAATAGTTCACCCCCAAAAAAAGTATAAAAATTTACTCACCCTCAGGCCAACAAAGATGTAGATGAGTTTGTTTCTTTATCATTCAAACAGCTGATAAAAACATCAAAGTAATCCACACGACTCCAGTCCATCATTTAACACCTTGTGAGGTAAAAAGCTGCTTGTTTTAAGAAACAAATCCATCAAGGCATTTTAACTTTAAACCATTGCTTCTGACCAAAATACAAGCCCATAGTCCACAATAACGCTTCCTTTAGTAAAAAAGTCCATCCCTGTTGTCCACTTACTTCAAAATCCACCAACATACAAACTGTTTTCACTTATTTCTCTCCTGATTCAGACAAGACAACGTTTTATTTCGAGAAAGCAATAATATGGATAGAGGATTCGTATTTTAGCTGGAAGCTACAGTTTGAAATAAAAAAACATCTTGATGGATTTGTTTCTTACAAACATGCAGCTTTTGCACAAGACTTTAATTGATGGACTGGAGTGGTGTGGGTTACTTGTGGACTATTGCGATGTTTTTATCAGCTGTTTGGACTGACGGCACACATTCACTGCAGAGGATCCTTTGGTGAGCAAATGAAGTAATGCTACATGTCTCCAAGTTTTTTCTGATGAACAAACAAACTCATCTACATCTTGGATGGCCTGAAGGTGAGTAAATTTTCATTTGTGGCTGAACAAACCCTTTAAGTAAACATAAAACAGTTTCAAAATGCAGTTCTTGTTGCATGATATTATTCAAATTACAGAAGTAAAACTGGTTTTGAATGCCGTTTCAAGTCAACTGTAAAGTTTAAATATCTTGCAACCAAAAATAGCTGTGATTGCAATCCTTCCTTATGTTTGCTTTGTACCTTTAGCTTTTCACCGATGGCACAACTAACAAACTGGTGGGGTGTTATGTGGAGGACTGCCTCGAGGATGTGGTGCTGGTAAGGGTGTACGGCAACAAGACAGAGCTGATCGTGGACCGAGACAATGAACTGAAGAGCTTCCAGGTTCTGCACGCCAACGGTTGCGCGCCCCGACTTTACTGCTCCTTCCAGAATGGCATCTGCTACGAGTTCATCCAAGGACGTGCTCTGGATACTCAAGACGTCAGGGACCCTGTGTTACTCAGGTAGGTCCGTTCAGCACAAGGCACAAAATAGAAGGATCCAAATGGGTGTTCATTCTAAAAATAACACATTTATTTGGTCTATTGACGTGGGCATTTGGGTTAGAACATAGAGTACTTCACTTTGATTTTACTTTGATGTACATTGCCTATTTTGGCCTTTGTGACTATAATAAGGAAGGCATTAAAACTGATCTTAGATCTGTTCCAAAAACTTATACTTCTTGCATATTTATAATTGTACTAATTACATAATTATACCTCATTTGTTCAAATTTTAAGATATTATCCTTTGATAAGAGAATCCCAGAATGCATTGCAATGAGGTCAAATTAAATGAATCAAAAATCAATACTGAAAATGATCAGTTTACACTACCATTCAAAAGTGTGATTGTTAATATTTGTAAAATGTTTTTGAAAGAAGTCTCTTATGCTCACTGATTATTTGATAAAAATACAGTAGAAGCAGTAATATTATGAAATAATATTGCAGATTAAAATAAGTGTTTTCTAGTTGAATGTATTTTAAAATGTCATTTATTTCTGTGATGTAAAGCTGAATTTTCAGCATCATTACTCCAGTCTGTAGTGTCACATGATCCTTCAGAAATCATTCTAATATGCTGATTTGGTGCTCAAAAACATTTCTTATTATCAATATTGAATTAAGTTTTGCTTCTTAATATTTTTGTGGAAACTGTGATCGTTCTTTTCTAGGATTCTTTGATAAATAGCATTTATTTGAAATAAAAATCATTTGCTTAAGTAGACGCATAGTTTGATGAAAAAGAGAACAAAGGTGACATCTTTTTAAAACCGGTTTTTAAATATTGAAGAGTGGTTTGTGTAAAAATGGTTTGTTGTTCTTCATATAGTCTAAGCTAACTGCAAATTTGGAGTGAAGTTCATGTGCACTCAGACAGAAGTGTTCATTCCTGTCATGAGGGTCACGTAATCTCCTTCCAGGCACACAGTGAACCGTATCAAAATCTACACCAGTGACCCAGGGCTAATATCCATTTTTCCACACAAACAGCTTTTTCCAGGCATTGTATTTAACCTGAAATGAAACACTGCCATTTTGACCAACTTCTTCCTTTGTTATTATTGGCAGACTGATCGCGCGTGAAATGGCCCGCATTCACGCCATCCACGCACACAACGGCTGCATCCCCAAACCCAACCTGTGGATAAAAATGCGCAAGTACTTCTCGCTGGTGGCCACTGAGTTCACAGACCAAGCATCTAACGTCAGGTAACCCTCAGAGAGTGGGTCTTAAATGTTCAATGATCTAAAATTCAGATTATAACACAAATAGTTCACAACTCAGAATCTGATTGGATGAGACCTATTAAAGCCATTTGAAACCTCTGTAAATTTTGATTTTGCTCAGACAGGTGTTACACAGTATACAGATTGCATCTGTCCGTCTAATCTCATGCGCAGAGCTGTTATGTCACATAATCATCTCCACTGTCTTCCTTACAAACATGCTCTCTCTTAAAAGCTGGCGGCTGTTTGCATCCTGACGTTTATCGGGAGTCAGAGATAATGCACATGTGAAGTCAATTACGTCATCAGTCATTAGAGCATTAGTTTCATAAGAGATTCTCTGGTGGAGATTATACTACTGCCCAAAGTCTAATCGGCCGATTTCACGCAGTAGTTTGACTTTATAAAAGCAAAAAAGCAACAAATCAGATCAGTGCTCCTAGGTTTTGAGTGAGCCGCTGCAGGGCAAAAGAAGATTCTAGAAATAGCTCCTTAAGCCCATTATGAAGGGAGAGTGGTCACTCGGACAGACTTTCTCATTGGTTTAACTGGACGACTTTATCACTTTTCTTAATTTCTCTTTTGTTAATCCATCCGTTAAAAGCCTGATGAAGCATTTAGTTGATTCAATAGGATTCCATTTGTTAACTCTTAAGTACATGAACTGGCAATGAAAATTACTTTTATTAATCTTAATGTTCATTTCAGTTTCCCTTAACCAGGAAATTAACGTTCTTAGAATTGACAGACAGTTGACCCTGAGAGGTCAAGTAAATATCTACAGCGGATCTAAATATTTATAATTAATTATAACTAGTTATGATTAATTATTCATATTTCCCCATGAGCTGATTCGTTACAATATAATTAAACGTTATTAAAATACAAAGTGTGTTTGTTAATGTTATTTAACAGACTTCAGCTAACATGAGCTAACATGAACTTATTAAAGGGATAGTTCACCCAAAAATGAAAATTCTGTCATTAATTACTCCTTCATGTCGTTCCAAACCCGTAACAGGGGTTCAACCTTAATTTTATGAAGTTACGAGAATACTTTTTGTGCACAAAGGAAACAAAAATAATGACTTTATTCAACAATTGTTCTCTTCTGTGTCAGTCTTTGCTGCATGTTCACGAGAGTACCACGACACAGGGGTGTGGTGCTGCTGAAACAGGAGCCGGCGTTTTGACGTATTTGAATTAAATTCAGATTTAAATTCAGACCGTGGAGATTAATCTTAGGGATAAAGGGAGACTATTCCACAATTTTGGACCCATAATAGAAAAAGCTCGATCACCCCTCGACTTATTATAACTCAACTAAGATATTTTGGAGCTGATCCGTTTAGAGCTTTAAAAACAAAAAGCAAAATTTTGAAATCAATTCTATAACAAATCAGCAGCCAGTGCAAAGAGTGTAATATTGGTGGAATATGATCAAATTTCCGCCAGTCAAAAGTCTGGAGGCTGCATTTTGAACCATCTGAAGACATCTAATATTGGATTTACTCATTCCAATATAAAGAGAATTACAATAGTCAAGTCTAGATGAAAGAACGAATGAAACGCTCTCTCAAACTCTGCAAATATTAAGAAACTCTGACAATAATCTTAATTGGAAAAAACTAGATTTAGTAACAGCAATTATCTGTTTATCAAATTTGAGGACAGAATGAAAAATAACACCCAGCTGAGTATTTTACATAGGAGACCAAATCTCCCAGGTCGCCATTAAAAGTACCTGAAACACCCGTGGGCCCAAACACAGTAACCTCAGTTTTGCTATCATTAAATGCAAACAAAAATTTAACAAAACTAAGACAAGCATGCTGATAATGAGCTTAAGCCTTTTTCTGTCATCTTTCTTTAAGGGCAAATAAATTTGTGTGTCATCAGCATAAAAGTGAAATGACACCACATGTTTAGAAAGAATAGTACCCAAAGGAAGCATATACAACAAGAACAAAACAGGGACCAGAATGGAGCCCTGAGGGACTCCATAATCTAAAACAGAAGAAGAAAACCCATCAAGACAAACAGAAAAAGTTCTATCATTCAGATAGGACTTAAGCCAATTAAGAGCACAACCTTCAATACCCACACATTGTTCAAGTCGTGAGATAAGAATTCTGTGGTCCACAGAATCAATGTCACCACTTAAATCTAATAGTAAGAGTATCACAGAATCCCCTGAGTCAACAGACAACAAAATATCATTAAAAACGTTTAATATTGCTAACTCAGTAATAAATAATTTTTGTTGCATTTGTCAAATACTCTTGACTCTCTGTTTGTAATGTGCTTGAATCACTCATCTGTTTCTGTGTTCTCTGAATTAGAATTCAGCAGGAAGTGCCCAGTCAGGAAGTTCTAGAACAGGAAATTATGTGGATGAAGGAACATCTGTCGCAGCTGGGTTCTCCTGTAGTGCTCTGTCACAATGACCTGCTCTGCAAGAACATCATTCACAATGCAAAGGAAGGTGAGTTTTGCTGGTGTACACCATGACAACATGAAATCAAACTTACTGTATTTACTTTTATAATAAAAGTGCCTAGTCTCATTATGTACACAAGTGTGTATTACAAGTGAGTAATCTTTTATCAAAAGCTTGCTCTGCCTCTGGAACTGCTTTCTTCTTGTGTAACCAAAGTCATGTGGGAGGGAAAAATAATATTTATTATTTCATAGCCCACATTTCATGTTCAGTTCAACTCCTATGGATGGGAAGATTTTTTAAATGTTTTTGAAATAAGTCTTTCATGCTTACTAAGGTTGCATTTGATCAAAAAATTTAGTAAAAGCTGTGAAATATTCTTTTGTAAAATTGTGAAATAATATTAATTAATTAAGATATTTTCAAATGTAACTTATTTCTATAATGGCAAAACTTAATTTTCAGCTTCATAACTCCAGTCTTCAGTGTCACATGATACTTCAGAAATCATTCTAATATGCTGATTTGATACTCAAGAAACATTTGTTATTATCATTGTTGAAAACAGTGTTTTTGTGGTAACCATGATACATTTTTTGATAAATAAAAAGTTCAAAAGAATAGAATTATTTGAAACAGACATTATAAATATCTTTACTGTGGCTTTTAATCAATCAATCTAGTGTGTCCTTGTTAAGTAGAAGTGTTAATTTCTTCCAAAAAAAAACACCTTACAGACCCTAAATGTATGAACGGTAGTGTATTATGTCATAGTACACAAGTTAAATGCATTGTGAATTTATTTTTCTGTTGTTTTAAAATGCAGTGTGCAACATAATAGCAAATATATTGACTGCTGCCAGGTTTCACAAACACTACTGCCGCTGTTTCCATGCTGCCTCCTGTGTTTTATTATTTAGGCAAACATGAAATCCTTCATTTGGTTGAGCCAGAAGTTGATATTTTGGGCTGCTCAAACAAAGAAATATTGACAACACCATAGAGCCAAAGTGTTGACACTTTTCAGCTAAGGCATTACATTTTGTGATTTTGTTTTAAAAGGCATTCAAGTCTAATATTTTGTTTTACTTACTACAGATCAACCCCTCTTGCTTTTTTCAGGTCATGTTCGGTTTATCGATTATGAATACTCAAGTTACAACTACCAAGCATTTGACATTGGAAACCATTTTAATGAATTTGCAGGTGAGCAGCATTAAAATATCATTCATAAAAGTAATCCTCTGGGATTTGTTTTGCATTAACCTCATTATACGTGTATGTGTTTGTTTTTCAGGCATGAGTGAACCCGACTATAACCTTTACCCCAGTCGAGAAATGCAGTTGGACTGGTTGCACACTTATTTGCAGGCCTACAAGCTCTTTACCAAGAAAGGTGAAGAGGTGAGCCAGCGTGAACTGGAGACGCTCTACGTACAGGTCAACAAATTTGCTCTGGTGAGTGTCCAGAGGATCATAGAGGAGGAAGTGTTTTCATAATGCTGCATTTATGAAGTTTATTCCAAGGATATGGATTACAAGCTTTTTGCATGTTGATTGGTGTCAGCGATATGTCTGTGTATGGACTGAGCTGGGAGGCTTTGGCCTAAAGTTCTTGTTCTTCTGCTTTGGCAGGCTTCACATTTCTTCTGGGGTTTCTGGGCCCTGATCCAAGCCAAGTACTCCACCATCGAGTTTGACTTCCTCGGGTAAGCAGCATACCCAGCTCAGCAAACCTTTCATCTCTGTGATGGGGGAGGATTTATTTACAGGCATAAAGATCATTATCAACTCTGACTGTGTTAAGAGAAATGGGTGTTACTGGCAGATAAAGAATGTACAATAAGTGATATGTAAGTGACAGTAAATGGTGGCACTCGTGCAGCCAATAAACAAGCAAGTTTTAGTTCCAGAAGATACTTTTGTAAGCTAATATAAAATTGTATACTGGGAATAAGTCCTGGTATTTCAATATTGGACACATTAGACCAAAGTGAGAAATTTAATAAAAAAATGCTAATATAAGTAGTAAGTGACATAGTATGCATGACATACATACTATGAATATCATAATATAAATAATATTAATACCCTGTAAATATAATTATACTATATGGGTCTCCAGGTTATTTGTCACTTTTTAATATCAAAAGTAAAACAAAAAAAATACAACAAAATAATAAATAAATAAATAACATTTATATATAGAATCACATTAGACCTGAAGCTGAAATGAGGCTGAGATCTCTTGGGTTCATGGCTAAAACAATGTTCCAATACCTTGTCCATTGTCTTTGCACTTTAGATCTGAATCTGTGAATGAAAGCCTCAGTTGGAGGTGAACGTCTAATATGAAGCTCTCCCGCTTACTGCAAAATGAATGGGTGCGGATTGTTATTTCTATTGCCTATAGAAACCAGTCAATGGTGTTTGTTTTCCAGAGGTGAAAAGTAGATTTGACTGCAACAAGTGAGTTACAGCCTGCTGCCCTCTGTGATTTTGGCACTCGACCTAAACCACACTTGAAATCTTCAGTGTTGTGTATCTGTAGCATTATGAAACTTTAATTAAGTTACTCTAGTCTTGGTTATATGGAGGGGGGTGAGTTATGTCATCCGTAGGCTGAGGATATTTTTGTAGGAATTGTGGCTCACTTTTATTAAACTGGCTCAAGTAATATATTCTGTAAACTTCCGACCTCGCCAGTTTCCAAGCAACAGGTCATGGTTCTACTCAGGCTGCACCTTTTAACAACAAATCACTGCCTGGCCTGCACAGATGAGATCAGGAGGGATCCTACAGCCTGTTTAAAAAAATCAGCATTGTTGCATGTAGGAAAAGGTTAAAAAAGTCAACAAATAACCAGGTCTTAAGGCAAAATGCCCATCATGCCTTTTTAAATTGATTCAATATATATTTCATAATGTAAAGTGACGTGTGGCCAAGTATGGTGACCCATACTCGGAATTTGTGCTCTGCATTTAACCCTTTCAAGTGCACACACACACACAGTGAACACACACCCGGAGCAGGGCGCTCGGGGAGCAGTTGGGGGTTCGGTGCCTTGCTCAAGGGTCTCACCTCAGTCGTGGTATTGAAGGTGGAGAGAGCGCTGGTTTTTCACTCCCCCCACCGACAATTCCTGCCGGACCTGAGACTCGAACCCACGACCTTCGGGTTACAAGTCCATTTATTATGCTGTTTTGTATTTAATAATAATACATTTATTTGTAATTAATTTGTTATACTTACAATATAGTGCTACTAATATAAAATATATAGCATAACACAAACAAAATCTATAAATACATTAAAAACTGATGATAATTGTATAGATATAACAGCCAAAATTGGTAAAAATTTCTAAAATAAAATTTTAAATAAGTGACATGTTTTTGTTTGTATTTGTTTATAAAAAATATCTTCTTTTAAAGGTAAAAAAAAAATTTATTTATTGGGGGATAAATATGACCTAAAAAAAAAATTCTTACTAAATTAATTTCTGATTTAAAAAAAGTTCATTTCTGACAATATTACTTATTGTGTCTTATTCCTAATTTTGACTTTAAGCTCTGATTCTGTCATGCTCTTTTCCTAGGTATGCTGTGCTACGTTTCAATCAGTACTTCAAGACCAAACCTGCTGTAATGGCCCTGGAGATCCCCAAATGAGACGTCAAGATTGAGAGGACAGTGCTGGTATCGGTTGACCTCATCGTTGACCGTTTGACTATGGAATCAGAGGCCTTTTTAGTCAGGGAAGGGTATGGGGTGCAGCAGGGGTGAGCACTGGGACCTCTTATGATTGGTTGACAACTTGTCTGCCAAGTCGTAGTTCCACAAATTCTTGATTCCTTTTTCAAACACCATGTTTCTTTTTGGGACTCAACGTTTAGTTGATCAAGTTTCCCTTGAAATGAGTGTGTTATTTATGTTTTAAATGCAGCTTATTTATTAATTATCATTGGGCACTTGTTTTGCACCAAAGTAGTCCTTATGCTCTTGGAGCCGACTTTGCTTTGGGACTTCTTGTTATGGGTTTTGCGGTGTGAGAGCCATAGCAAACTTGTGCAGAATTTGCTGTGAAGGAGGCCTGCAGTGATGTTGAGCAAGGGGATATGTTGATACTATGGGCATTGACTAACACGAAACATTCAGCCTGTGGCTTCATAATGCTTCTGTCAAATGGACGTGGCCCACCGTTGTTTCTTTTGCATTGACAAATGCTCGAAGTCCAAAAAAAAACAACAGCACTTTCAGCTTTATCTTACTGTGCAGTAATGGGGTTATGTGTAAAAATCTGGGCTGGTAATACAAAAGTTTCTGTTTAAGAGCCAAAAGGGTTGACTCAGGAACTAAATAGTTACCAAGGTCAAAATCCTGCCCTGTTCTGCACTATTACGCACTTGAGCAAATGACTTAAACCCTGCAATTTGTCCCCTATAAGTTACTTTGAATGAATGACGTCAGTTAAAAGGCAAGTAACCAAGTAACCATTGAAGTCAATGTGACCTCACTCCAGACATTCCCAAGAAGTCAGGTCCACGAGACCCCTCAGCATCTCAGCCACATTTCCACCTATTTAGCTTTTATGGTTGTGAGGAGTTCTGTTGAATTTTCCACTCATCACAGGCTGTGGTATATTACCACCTGCCTCCCACTTCCCCCTCCTTCTCTCGCTCTCTGTCCTACAGTAAATGCTTTTGCATCACCTGGCAGAGCTCAAACTGAGATTTGAAAGTCATTATCTGCTCAATAATCACTAAGCTCATTCCTAATGTAACCCCACCAAACGTCAATCTAATGGTTTTCTAAAACTGGAAAAGGGGGCAATATTTATGTAACAGTGCTTTGTAGTTTGATTCAGGTCACCATCTGTGAGGACTCAATGTCCTGGAGCAACAAGGACAAGATTATTTAAGTTTAGAATATTAATTGCAGATTTAGGGATGTACTGTAATTGCCATTTCAGTCCTTAAATACCTGGACTGTCTGGTTGTATGTGGTTTTCAAAGTCTTTTCAAAACATTTTGAATTACATTTCATTTCAGTGCTGTTAATTTAAAATTCTCTCACCTACAAGAACATAATTTCACATTTCCCAGTCTTTTGCTTTATTTAATTTCTTTGTCGCATATATTATGCTTTTACTGTAAAATTATGTCCGTTTTTGTCTGAGTAAAACATTTCAGTAGAAACTTGCTAAAGCCTCACAAAGCACAAAATCATAAGTTTATTTTGTCATGCATATTGAAAATGCCGAGAATTGCACCATTTTGGTCACGCCAGCTGTAATATTGTACTGTAAATTAGAGGTAGAGAGATATTTGTGGGAATCTGTCAAGAACATATCAGGCCATATACCCAAAAGAAAAAAAAAGATATTTTTCAAAAAGAAAGTAAGCCTTTTTTTTTATTTTCTTTTTTTTACAAATGTTACGATTTATTGCATTTAAACATTATTTTCATGACAATTTAAGAGGAAAAATTCTAATTATTGAAAATTATTAAGAAGTATGAGAATTAAAAAATGTGGAGGCATTAAAAGAACTTGGGGAGAGAAATGAGCTAAATTATGGAAATGTCATATTCTGTTATCTTTTAATGCAAAATGTAATTTCTTAAGTTTCCTCGTCACTTTTGTCATAAAATGTGACCTGAATATGTTTTTGTGAGATTCATCCATTTTAAGTATCACTGGAATCTGTCTGGCAGCTTGTTGAACCCAAGTGTCCTTTTATTGACCGACCAGATCAGTCCCTGGTCAATTAGTACAGCAGTCCTTTTCAGACCATCTTGAAACTGAAGCTAGATGTTGCGTTTGAGCAGTGGGGTCACGGTGAAATCTCTGAGGTGTCTCTGGCTCTGTGTCAGGAGCAGGTTAATAATGAAACGCTTTGAGACGCAGGCGACGACTGAAAGCAAGCGGCCCTTCAACAAAATCATGAATAATTTTGTAGCCAGTGTTTCTCTAATGAGTTGGAACTGCCTGATAGCTCTGTGCTAATGTACTGTGTTCTGGTTGTGTTCACTTTTTACTGCTTGAATCTAAAATTTGAGTTGCAGTTTTAAGGTGAATCTTGAGAAAACATTTCCAGGTCAAATTTCACCATACAAATTAAAGTAAAAGTAAGAAATAATACTTTGCATACAGAAAATGCAAAAACATTCCCATTTCTGTAAAAAAAAACATTATTTTTTAATTAAACTCAGTGTAAGTTAAATAAAAAATACTGTAAATCGATTACACAAATGTGCTATATAATTTAATTAGTTTTATGTGCATTACAGTAATGAAAATGCAACAGTTATTAGAATTACAGTAAGCTACTGGGATTAATTTTCATAATGAGAAAAAAGGTCCTAAAAATGAAAAAGGTTCTTTATTCATAAGTATTCACCTTTTTATGCTCTGGATAGCTTCCACAAGATTCTACTTTTAAGGTCAGCTGATGCATTTTTACATCTTTGTCACTTTGTGGTCCATGATGACTGATGACTAAAAAAGTGAAAAATATTTATATAGGTTGCATATTCCTTACATGCGTGAAGAATGTTATAAATTTGAACAATATGTTCATATAACAGGAGTGCAATTGCAAGATATGTGTGTAGATGTACATATGCGAGTGTGTCCACCAGAAGGAAACTAAAATATTAGTTACTTCTCAGTTTTCTTTTATGATATGAAGGCCATTTCTAATGTGAAGGGGGAAATGTTTACAAACACCATTCCCATTTCCTGGAAAGTTTATTTTGTATATAACTCAGATTATCCCATCAACTTCTTAATGTGGAACAAAGTAGATTTTAACATCCTAGACATTTCATAGCACCACCCCTGTATATAATATTAGTTATTATCTCTATTATTTGAAATCACCTTGTAAATGTCCCTTTTTAAACCTCTGCTCTTAAAAGGGATGTTTACAGGAAGCATCTGTGTTGGGATTTTTGTTTCATTTGCTATATTGAAAACATACCAAACAAGTCTGCTTCACAGTGTGCGCTTTATTTGAATGTACATCTTTTGTGAATGTACTGAAGAAATGTACAGATTATGTTTCATTTATACTTACATCTTTAGTATTTCTACTTGTTTTGTATATTTAACTGAACTGGGAGTGTATTGGATTGTTAGGTTGGCATGGGCCCAAGTGTGTGTTTGCTGGAGACCAGCAGGCGGCGCTACTGTAACGCAGCGAGGCTTTCGGCGCTGATAAGGATTCTGTAAATACTGTGAAATATTGTGAAAAATACTGTACAATGTTTTCGCTTCTATTTAACTGTGAGGAGAATAATTTAATAATTATTCAAATTTTACATTAAAATGTCAGAGTTGGATCTAATTGTGTGCAAATGTCATTTTTCCCTTTGATATAATAGAATAATAAATCTGTAATATGCATTAAATGCACATTCTGCTGCGTGAATCAAAATGGCCTCTGGTAACACCAAAGTGTCTTCTGTGTCACACCCGGTCAAACACTTACGTTTCCTCGTTGAACTTTTGCCCGTCTCCTGGGGACGGTGACCTGCATTTTGTCCCGGTAAGCACAGGAAGACTACTATTGAGGATATCCCGAGTCAAACAAGCACAATGCAGTTACACACATGCAGGACTCCATCCTCGGCGTTAAAGTGCAGGAACTAGTTTTTTTTTCTCGAAGTTTCTCCTCAGAGATTCAGTTGTTTGAATGAGGTAAAACTCTACCATTTTCTCAAGCTCTTTCTACGTACATAAACATTTAAATTCAAAAGTTGCTGTGTAATAAGCAAGTTTATGTGATCACGTCCGACTGACTAGTTAGGATTATGACTTGGGCATTATGCTTAGCGTAGTTATGTTTATGACTTGGATTAATAATTAGCACTTTACTAAACTGAATCCAGTTGTTCACTCCAAAAATATCTAAATTAATCTGAACCACAGAAGTAAACATAATTTTTTTTATTTATGCTTCAAAAACAAACCACAAAACTTGCTTGGAAAAATGCAACATACAGAAAAAAAACATTTACACCTTTAAATTATACACTTTTATAAACAAAATAAAGTCTATATCTATATTTTACAACAGCTGGTTTTGCAACAGTTGTCCAGATTGCGAATCATATTTTTTCCCCCATGGGTTCATTCTACAGATAAAATACAAACTGTATTTCTGTGTCCAGCTATATACATGTCATCATTTCCTTTAACATGTATAGGTTTATCCTTACAGTCCACTGGCAGATATCTTCTAAAATCTCCTCTTTAAAATATAAATGCTTATAATTTTTAACAAAATGTTTACATTTCAGCTCAACTGTAAATTGACTAGCAGCCCAATAATATGGACCCGGTCTTAAGAACTGCTGGAATGATAACTCCGTTATTTTCTTCAGCAAAAAATCACGCTATACACACACACACACACACACACACTAAAATAGAAAAGTAAACCAAAATTTAAAAAATGGGAGTAATCTGAGGGAAGGGCATTATTCACATCTCCTTTGACAAAATGAATAGTAGAAATGATTTGCATATGTACATCAAGTGCAAAATTCTACTCTGAAAAAAAAGTTATATTATGAATCATGAGGGTCTGAAAAAAATATATTAGATGGGGAAAGTGCATTTCAAGTGATTATTCTGCACTAAATCAAAAGAAACAAAAATATGATTTTGACCTGGGGAAATATTTTAAGTGCAGTACCCAGATTCAAACAGCAGAGGACGCCACCAACCTTCGCTGCACTTAGCGAGTCTTAAAGGGGCAGGCTGCTTAAATCTCTGTAGCAGAACAGCCTCTAATCGTCATTATCTAGTATAATACACTGGACAAGGAGTTCAGGAATGTTCCTTCCTT